GCTGATGCTATGTCCCCCTCAGTACCCACCAGCGCTGATGCTGTGTCCTCCTCAGCACCCACCAGTGCTGATGCTGTGTCCTCAGCACCCACCAGCGCTGATGCTATGTCCTCAGCACCCACCAGTGCTGATTCCAGGTCCCTCTCAGCCCCATGCCTGGCAGCTGTCCACAGGGTAATAAAACACAAACACTGCTACCAAACCAGTGCTCTTTGACTGTTTAATATCTCCGTGTTGATGCTCTTGATTGACAGCTCATCTCGATATGTTGTCTTGATAATTACTGCTTTGTACAATCCAAGTTCACTACAATCAAATTACCTATTTCTTTCATGGAGACATTCTTTTCAGTGAGCCATCAGTATGCTCTTTATTTTACAGAAAGTTTCTACCTAATTCTTGCTTCCTTCACTGTTTGAATACATTTCATTCATTGAAAGACAATCTTAAAATACAATCTTTGAGCTTACTATCAACAATATTTAATTTGTATCTTTACAATGCTTGTAATCAGTACCAATTTATGTCGTATTCCTATAATTCTGTAGTGCTTATGAGGAATTGTTACAATCAACTCTGCTCCAAACGTGAAGTTTCACTGGATGATTGAGAAGAAAGACCATGAGGAAGAACTGGTTGGTCTCCGAGAGGTACAAATGTAACAAAAGGCTCTTTCTTTTTTCTTCTTCTTTTTTTCTTTTTTGTGGGTCATGGGGCTTGAATCAAGGCCTGGGAACTGTCCCTGAGCTCTTCAGCTCAAGGGGAGCGCTCTACCACTGGAGCCACAGTGCCACTCCGCCACTTCCAGTTTTCTGGTGGTTTATTGGAGATAAGAGTATCACAGACTTTCCTGCACGGGCAAGCTTTGAACCATGATCCTTGGATCTCAGCCTCCTGAGTAGGATGACAAGTGTGAGCCACCAGTACCCGGCACAAGAGGCTATTTCTATTGCTTCAAATTCTTCACACAGCTTGAATTTGGAGAAGCAATTTAGAACTGACTATGAAGATGCCTGCCTCTCTCATGATTAAAAATGTGAAGATGTCAACTACAGTTTGTTCTGAAATGTGTTTTAAGACACAAACTCTGAGGAGAGGAAGAAAGAGACAGAGATAGGCAAAATTACCGTACAAGGCATTTCCTGAGTCACAGTAGTGAATCTACTGAATAGTTTCTAACAGTAATTAACCATAGGACACAAATATCAGTGGAAAAACTGGGGACATTGATCTCTCCTAAGAAATGATTGCTTCTTTCTAAGTCTTCTTGGGCTAAGGTATTCTTCTTTTGAGACAATAATTTACCTTCCAAAGCACCCTTTTAGATGTTTGTCTTAATTTACCATTCCCCAATATTAGGATATATGAATGGCTAGAAGGGTAGATTAGAGCTATTAACTCACCCCAAATCACAGCCAATTCAGTCTCAGGCATAAAGTAGCTAGAAGTGGCTATGAGGAAGGACAGGCAGTAAGCAAGGAAGAGGAGGAGGAAGGAGATGACGGCCTTCATGGCTCCCACGTGGGCCTGGGTCCTGGGGTCCCCATGCCCGGAGGTATGGAGCTGCATGGTTCTCTTGTGTCTCCACAAGGAGAGGATCAGGAGGAGGAAGGAGACCAAGGACACAGAAAAGGGGAAGAGCATTATCAGATTGAGATAAATGTGCAAAGAAATGTACCCGATTTTATTTGCCCTGCACTTCAGAGTTACGTTTGTGTTCCGCTTGGCCTTGAGACATTGTCTGAAATCCGTATTCAAGTTCTCAGTGGCTGGGAGAGTGAGACACACCGAAAGCAGCACACACCCCAGGAGAGTCCCGAGCACTGCCCGGTCAACTCTCCACTTCAGCCAGAGGAACAGGGGGTGGGAGAAGTTGGCTATCTTGAGAAAATAGAAGACACTGAGGCAGCTGGCCAGCCAGACGCTGGAATGGTTGGTCAGGGTCCAGAGGAAGTTGTTCATCTTCATGAGGCGAGTGCCATGCTCATAGAGGTCGGGGCGCACAATCAGAAGACAACAGTCAAGCAGGATGGCGCATAGGAGACAGAGTCTGGAAATGGCCAGACTTGTGAGGATCAGGTCAATGGGGGCCATCTTCCTAGTCTTTATCCAGTCCACAATATTTACTAGTCCAATGAACGCATTTCCCAAGACGCCTACTGAAAACTCCCCAGCTGCTAAGAGCATTAAGACAGCGTCCAATTTGTACGGCATAACGGAGCAGAGAGATATCCAACCGGCTTCTAGCTGGCCTGATGTCCTTCGGCCTCTACACCCCCTTCATAGACTTTGCTGTAATTTTCTTTGCCTCTTTAACTGCAGTCTGTCTTGTGATGAGAACTGGAATAATAAATGAAGATTGCAGCTATTTTCATTAAATCTTTTTTTTGGGGGGGTATTGGTCCTGGGGCTTGAACTCAGAGCCTGGGCACTGTCCCTGAGCTATTACTTTCATTGAAGGCTAATGCTCTACCGCTTGAATTGTAGCTCCATTTTCAGCTTTTTAGTGGTTGATTGTGAAAAAATGTCTCATAGACTTTCCTGCCTGGGCTGGTTTTGAACTGTGACCCTCGGAGCTCACCCTTCTGAGTAGCTAGGATGGCAGGCGTGAGCCGCCTGCATCTCCTAGAACCTGAATTCATTTCAACAACATGTTTGGCGATCCTCAGACTGTGTGCCAGATGTTCATTTGCCTTCTCAGTAGATTATACTTTCCCGTATACCATTAATTTAGTCTGAGCTATTGTTTCCTAACATACAACCAGAATTTTAGATAAGTAATGAGTAATTATCTAACATATGTTCTAAGTTGTACAAGAACAGAATTTTCATGAAGTCTTGAATTTAAACTTAATTGGTTATCCTGCATTTTATGAGACAACTGTAAATCTCAAGAATTTACTAGAAATTAGGAAGGCAAAAAGGAAACTTGTGGAAGAATCTTCATTGTGTTGTTTGGCCAAGTTACGAGTAAAAACAAGGTTCTGAACCACCTCGTGGGATGTATTAAAAGAGTGCCCTAAATATGCATTCTTTGCTCCTAAAAATGTTTAGCTGGCTCAGATGAAAAAATGTCACTTAAAATAATGTGTCATCTTATTGGCCAAGTAACATTTAGGATCACTAAGCTTGTGATGCTAGGTATAAGATAAAGGATTCATGATAAAAAATGATTACATTTATATTTTTCATTTTCATTACAAATGTTCTCAAAGGACAATGTTAGGGTCTGAACCCATGGACTTGAGCTTGCTCTGCTACTTGAGCCATAACCCCTTTCATTCTTATTTTGTTTTGAGACAGGGTCTTGTTAACTTTTCCCAGGCTGGCTTTGAACTTGTGCTTCTCCTGCCTCAGTCCCATCTTAAAGGAGAACTTTCATTCCTAAGAGTTTATAGTGAACTTTACACTACAATAAACAAAAATATTGAGACTGTAAACATTTTGGTATAATACAAGGAAATCAGTAGTTGAAATAGTCCAGAATTAGACTTTGAAAATAGTAGGAATACAGCCAGATTAGAACAGACACAACCTCAGATATGACAGAAGCAATGTTTCCATAATATTCTAATACTGAAAAACATATTTTTACAGCAAAATCATACTTTATTATAGAAAAATCTTTAAACCTTTAAAAATAATTCCCCTGTGGGATGACTCCATACAGTTAAGGGCCAGCAATCAGAGTGCGTGATAGGAAAACATGGGAACCCATTAAACATAAGAAAATATGGGAACCCATTAAATGTAGGAAAACATGGGAAACCATTAAATGTAGCACAAGTGCAGTACCTCCTGGCAAAGTGAAATTGTAAAAGAATTTAACGAGCAGTGCATGATTAATATTTGTACCAAGAAAACAAGAAGAGACATGTGCTCTCTGAAAGTAGAATAGAAGGAATATACAAATAAAAATGTTGAGTGCAATGAGAATTCACATGTTTACTAGTTTGGTAATAGGACCTGGTAACGCTTAAAGATATAGATCTAAAATAAATTAATCAAGTGGAAAACCAAGAACCAAGCTACTAGAAATGTGTGTGTGCAATGCATGCGTGTGTGCATGTCCATGCCTTGTGTCTTTGAGATTGTCTCTTGCTATATTACCCTGGCTGGCTATAAACATGGCTCAAGTGATCCTCCTTGAAAGAAAACATTTTATGTTACTAGAAAGTCAGATTTAAGTACAATCATAAAACTCACATTTTACATCACACGCACTATTTTCCTACACATCAGCATCCTGATAAGAGCCTGTCTCAGGTTATTATTTCCAACAATTAACATCAGGGAGTGTCCCATAGGATACAGAATTGTTATAATTTCACCAAACAACATAGCTAACTTTTGTTCTTGTATAAGGTAGCTGAAAGTAATGAAAAGAGAAAACACGCAGTAGATAAAAAAGAAAAAGAGAAATAAAGTCAGCATTTTCATAGCTCTGACATGAGCCCCTGTGCTTGGATCTCTATAACCTGTAGCATTGCATTTCATTTGCTTAATATGTCTCCACAGGGATATTATAAAACAGAAAAATGAGATTAATGACACAGTAAATGGAATCATTGCAAGCAGGTTAAATAAAGTTATTGGCTCAAAGCCTTGACTTTTACTTACATTGAACATTTCAGGGTTGCTCAGTTTCTGACTTGGCACATCATAAGTCCTATCATTGTAACTCAGGACTATCACCACTGTAAAGCCAACCAGCAAACTAATGGCAAAGCACCCCAAGACAATCCGGTGAATCATTCTGTCAATTCTCCACTTCAGCCAGAGGAAAAGGGGATAGGAGAAACTGGCCACCTTGAGGAAGTAGAAGACATTGAGGCACATAGCCAAACACATGCTGAAGTAATTGAAGAGCGTCCAGGAGCTAAAAAGAACTATCTGGACTTTGAGATTTGCATAAATATCTGGGTTCAGAACCAGTAGAATGCCATTTAGTGCCGTTGAACCAATTAAAAATATTCTGGAAATAGCTAACGTGGTGAGAATGTAATCAAGTGAGGAGATCCTTCTCTTCTTCATCCAGTCAATGAAGTTGACCAGGCCAATGTATCCATTCCCCAGTATGCCTACTATGAGCTCTCCAGTTATCATGATGAGAAAGACATCTTCAGTGCTGACCATGTTTGTAGACAGAGCTCCCTGGTCTCAAAGGTCACTGCAGACAGGCTCGTGCACGAGACCAGTGGGCATGGAGACCAGTGTGCACGGAGATCAGTGGGCACGGAGATCAGTGGGCACAGGGACCAGTGGGCACATAGTGAGGTCTTCACATCTTTCTATCACATTTTTGTCTGTTGTCATTTTGACTTTGGTGGCAACTGCAAGGTGTTCAGCCCCCACCCCCTTTGGAATATTTCTACATCCACAAAGACTATCCTCAATTGCTCCAAATGGCTTGTGCGGTTGGTTGGTTGGTTGGTTTTTTGTTTGTTTTGTAGACTGGGGAAATTACAATTTTACCTTTGGTGAGTGACAACTGACGTGCTTGGTTGAAAATGCCATCATGCAAATTCAAAGGATTTTATTTCATGAATTTGCAATAGACTTCTTGGTGTAAGTTCTGCTTATTTGGATCTGTCAAATTTAGCTTTGAATAAGGAGCCATGCAAAGAAAATGAAATATGAGTACTTAGTAAAAATCAAAATAGCTAAGTGACACAAACTTTATTTTTTATCTCTGTAAGTTATAAAAATACCTGTAAGGCAGGCCTCCTAGATGGAAGCAGAACTTAATTTTAGAGAAAAGGAGCACAATTAGATTATAGAAAATTAAATCAGAGAAAAAGTAGTTTTGTGTTCATATAAATGTTATTAAGGGAGAGTTTGTTACAGTCTAATTAGAAGTGACATTGTGACTAGGCTGGCAGGGACAGGCAATAAGTACTAAAAACTTGTTCTCTGTGTAACTGGTTATTATGAGTAAAGATTCTTGTTAGTTATTTTATTTAAAATGAGAAACAGGTTTTTCACATCTTGAAACATTCTCTCTTGGATAATAAATATTTTCCGCTAAAGTCAAGGAAGTTTATTCTTCATGTTATTCTAGTTCCAGTACATTTCTTTTTATAAGGGTTGTGATCTCAGATTATAATTATCTCTCTAGATAGGTAATCTTATAAAAAGCAAGTTAATAAAAATCCCAACATTATTTCCAAGGAATAGAACTAATTCCACTAATCACTTAGATTGACTTTATCTTGGGAAGTATGACTTAATGCACACTACATAGGAGTCTAGACAATCCATAGTGCAATAAACTAGGGTTCTTGTTCTTGCATTTAAATAGTTTTTGCTCTGGTATTAAAATTTTTCCCCATTTCTTACATATGTGTAATGAGTGGGAGGAAAGCATGAAGCAACCCTAGGGGCTGGGATGTAGATAAATAGTAGTGTGCCTGTCCCTCAAGCCCAAGGCCCTGTGCTTCAATCCACAGGAAAGAAGAAAAGAAATTCAGTTATCTGTAAAAGACTACAGAAGCAAAATGATGCTAAGGGGAAAACACATAAAAGATTCTTGAGTTAGAAAGCTAAAGAGAATATCCTAAAGAATCTTTGTGACCTGACTCTTAACATGGTCATGGTCAGCTAGAACTACTTATAAAAGATTCTGACAGATTTGTAATTGTAGTTAACCATTTTCTTCTGGGAAAGGTTTAACTCTTTTTCCCCTTCCCCAAAGCTTAACCTCTTGAGCATGAAAGAATTATTCTAGGCAAAAATCCCATCAAAGTCTATTATTTCTTTCCTCCCCTGCCACCATTAATCAGGAAAAATCCTTCCAGATATGGAAGTCAGGACAAGAAAGACCAGGACTGGCCGGGTGCCAGTGGCTCACACCTGTAATCCTAGCTACACAGGAGGCTGAGATCTGAAGATCACAGTTCAAAGCCAGCCCAGGCAAGAAAGTCCGTGAGACTATTATCTCCAATAAACCACTAGAAAACCAGAAGTGGTGCTGTGGCTCAAGCAGTAGGGCACTCACCTTGAGCTGGAGAGCGCAGGGACAGCGCCGAGGCCCAGAGTTCAAACCCCATGACCAACCAAAAATAATAAAAAGACCAGGACTGTCTTTCCATTTGTAGTTTTTTATGTAACTGACTTCATAGGAAGGGATGATGAAGCCTACAGTCTCTCCCTCAAAACATGTTTGCTTGAACTTCTTCCACTTACCGAGTTCACAGTCTGCACCAGTCCAAGCAGGGAAAGGACTGCTTGAAACATTAGCAGGGGTTTTAGATTGATGGTTCCTGCAAAAACAAAGAAAACACTTGTTTTGTTGTTTCCATGTGCTGGTGCTGGGCTTAAACTCAGGACATCGGCTTAGCATCTTGGTTTTTTTGCTCAGGCTAGCACTCCACCACTTGAGCCACAGTTCCACTGCTGGCTGGGTTTTTGTTTTTGTTTTTTGGTGCTTGATTGGAGTCTTATGGACTTTCCCAGTCCTCAGATCTCAGCCTCTTAAATAGCTAGGATTACAGGTGTGAGCCACCAGTCCCCAGCAAAACATTTCCTATTAAATTAAAGCATTAAATACAAAATTGAGAAAAAATAAAAGATAGAATTATGAAGCATCATAGGAAATCTCTGGAACTACGTTAGATATTAAGAAAAAATTGCATGCAAATATTTACATGAAAGTCTGTTAACTCCTCCTTGTAGCTAAACTATTTTCCAGGACTTTCTACTGATCATAAAGCTCCTTTTCCTTTGTAGAAACCCTCTATTCATCCTTTGAAAGACATCCCAACTTACTTCTCATTATTGAGAAGAATGGTGCTGGCTGAGAAAACGGCCATTACCACACCCCACCCACCATGGCCAGCTTTCCTCGAGGAACCCCAGAGCTGCAGGGTATTATAGAAAAGACAGAAGAGACACAGGGAGGCCCCTGGGTGCCCCTTCCCTCCCCTTCACTGGTCCTTCAGTGTGGGGTCTCTGAGCTCTGTGACATGCACTTGCTTTGCTTGGTGTGACTACACCGAGAGAAAGTAATGACACAAAAGACTGGTCAAACAATTACCAGAATGACCACCCTGGGTGCAGACTAATTTGTCTGACAGAATTTGAAGTCTCACTCACTTTAATTCACGAGGTGTGATTTTCAGGATTGGCCATGAAGATGTGAGGGTGCATTTCATCACGAAGAAGGCCCCCAGAAGAATCTCAAGGCAGATCCTGCTGATCCTTAGTGTGAGCTGAGGATTGGGGGGGGTCAGATGCGTTAGTTATCTTCAGTGAACAGCCAGTGCTGAAGAAAAAGGAAGTCAGATGGGCTGATTACCGGTAAGTGTGCAGACCGTGTCCGGGAGGCTCGCTAGCTTACCTCTGCCCCAGGGGTCTGGAGAAGGCCACGCGGATCAGTGTGCCCACCGAGGCGGTGTCTCTGCCCTTGAGCTGTTAGACAATACAGCGAGTCCATTCCCCAAGCCCCTCTGGACACAGTCCGTTTACCGCAGTCAAATCACTATCACTATGAAGAATTAATTCACCTGAGCAGCGAGAGAATACCCTTTACCTTTGTGTGTGTGTGTGTGTGTGTGTGTGTGTGTGAACTCTGACCCAAGCCAAGGAGACTGCCAGTTCTGCTCAGGATTTACTGAATGAGTCCAGTAACTTCCTTTTTGAGTAGCGATGATTGAAAGGTTCTGAGATGCAAATAAGAATGGATCTGATTTCTTGTATTTGCACCATCCATTTTATTTTGAATTCAATAAGTCATATCCATTCTGAATTTAGCCAAGATGTAAATGCCCTGCATGCGGGTGTGGCACTCTGCCCCGAGACACCACTCATGCTATCTTCCTTACTGTCTGTTCCAGCTTCAGACAATACTTTCTTACGTTTGCAGTCAAAATCTTCCCCCTTCACTCCAATGATATAAATTTGCAGGGAAAGGTTAATGCTTCACACAATACATCACATTGCTGTTTGAATTTTTTAATCCCTATTTTTTATTATAAAGTTACATACGTCAAGTTAAAAGTACATTTCTTTTTGCACATTGTCTCCTCTTCCCTTGCTCTCTCTGTTTTTCCTTCCCATCCCCGCCCACAACTTGTATCGTTCATTTTCTACAGAGTGTCCAGTGAGGATCATGGCTACATTTGTTCACCTTTTGTCCCTCCATTTCTGTGCCCCCCCTCACTCTCCCAAAGATAGATAAATATACAAACAGAACAAAAAGGAAAGAAAAACAGCAAGCAAGAAAAAAAAACTTCTTGTTTTCATTTCCTGGAGTTCATTCTGATAAATATTATTTTGTATGATCAGAGCCACAGAAGCTTTGCACCTGTGTTCCTCCCCTAAGAATGGCCTTCTTTGGTCTCACTGTGTGTAAATGCCTAGAGTCCTGTATCAGTTATCACGTCCCAGTGTACTTTAGATCTAGATTCCACCTATGAGAGATAAGATGCACCGTTGTGTCTCTGAGCTTGGCTGACCTCACATGACGTGATTTGTTCTAGGTCCATCCATGTTCCTGTAAATGACATCATCTTATTCTTTCTATGGCTGTGTAAAATTCCATTGTAATACATCACAATTCAAGCCATCATGTGAATATCAGAGGTAAACGAAGTGATTATCATTATTCGTAGAAATGTTGGTGTATAAGGCTAGTAAAGATGAAAAAAATATTCTCTTCTAATCATTTGGCAATAATCATTAAATCTTAACTTCTCATGAGCTTTCCAATATAAGAAATCAGGAAAAGACTCAAATTGAACAGATTTAATAACATACATTTCTCTAACTTAAATTCCTCGTTATTTTTCTGGTACCAGGGGCTTTACGTGACTTTACTTTAGTTGTGCAGAGGGGATTCCTTAATACATTTCCACACATTTACCATGAGCCCCAGGACAGTGTATTCTAACTAACCCACAGGTGTAGTGTTACCACCCAAACTAACATGCAAATGTCGTGTGCTAGCCTATAGAGAATTTCCATTTTACCAGGAACCAGAATGTGATGGAAAATACATAAAACCTCCGTGGTAACAAGACCTCAGGAACCAGAAAAAAAAAAAAAACACTGGCTTACAACACACCTCGGCTATATTTCTTCCTAATATTTTTCCCACTAAGAATACTATCAATATCATGAGTGAGTCATTGTTTTTT